AACTGCTGAACTGCTTTGACTAGCTTGTTGTGGCAGTGTTATTGTTCTTGTTTTTCGTTTTGTTGTTGTAACAAAATTTTGTTCTTTGTTCATAACTGTGTCAATTAAGATGACAATTATTCATAGATTTCTAGGAATGACCCACAGCCAACAGCAGCAGTTAAGTTCAGAGAAGACTTATTGGTGACAATTTCCAATCTAGTTAATCTTCCAAAGGTGGACCTTGCCTTGGTTACCTAGAGACCACATTAGGCTTCTTCAGCTTAATTGGAACTATACAACGATGGCAATTGCACAGATTTCCAATTGGATTTTTTGATTACCATGGAAATTGTTCGTAGAGTAGGTGGGTGGGTTGTTGTGATTGTGATTGGAGCACAAAAAATACTGGAGTTTAATTTCATTCAAAATAAATGCTCATAATTTTTAATAGATTTATTTTTTTCAATATTTTATTTGTAATATTTAATTATTATTTTTTATTGACATAAAAACACTTAACACTTAAAAGGTTTCTTTATTTTATTTTTTGCTATAAAACGAATGGGTTATGGTTACGCTTTTACAAAACCAGAAAATCGCATAATTTCCATCGAATTTCCCTTTTGACTATTTGACATTTTTGTTTAAATGCAACACTTAATTCGAAATCTTTACACTCTGTTTATCTTCCTCTATTTTATCGGATATTTTGTTATTATTACTAATTTTTTTTTGTAGCTTGAAGAAAAAAACGTCTTCATATTTTTTCAAACTAATTTCCAGATTTATTTTTTTTCTTTAACACTTAACAGCACGGTAGCGTAGCGGAGCGATAGCACAACACGTCCGTTTATCAGAAAATTACAGAAGCACCTAAATTTTACAAAATACAGAATTTTCTTTGGTTCCCCTAGAAAAGTGATTTTTTTTATTCTGTGGTACCCTTTTTCAGTGCTTCTCTCACAGCCATCGGTTGGTTGGTTGCAGTCCAGTGTGTTGTGATTTCTTTCACTGCCAATTCTCTTAGGGGTAGAAATGCGCAGGTCTACTCTTTGCCAGAACTCTCTTTGTTTTGATTTTGATATCTAACGGTATTTCTAATTGTATTGTCATTTGACCGATAGCTGTCAAAGTCTTCTTCGCTATTATCTTTACTTTACGCTCAAATGGATACAAGTTTTGCTTCTGTTGTTGTTTTTGGTCGAACAGTAGCCGTGAGAGTCAATAGTCCGGTAGAAATATGCGGAATGTTATTTTAATGACCATGAGATTGGGACAAGGTTTTTAATGCGGTAGACAGTAGTCAGTCAAGGAATTACAACCCCCTATAAAGTGTGAAGTCAAATGTTCAATGCTTAACATTTTCGATTTGTGTAATTTGTGTTCCCAAAGGGAGCAATAGGGTTCGTCAGGGTTCAATATGATGAATGATTAGGGGATGAAAGAATCATTCTTTGAAATGTATTTACAATAGTTCTTGTTAGACGCACAGATTATAATTGCCTTCTAATAATTCAGATCTTGCATAAATCGCAAGATAACAATGAATAGTAGCATGTGTATGATTGATGTCGTCAAGTTCGACTGGGTCGAACCTTTCAAATTCTTAACCATTAGCACGCCATTATAATAAACAAAATTGGTCGGGAACTTTATATGGGGTTATGTCAAGACCCATTGACATTGATTTTCAGAAGGTTTTTTATCTTCTGCGAAAACGAAGTACTAACCTACGAACTCTTACATTAGACTGTGTAATGGAAAGGTGGAACTTCTCGACCCACACTGTTAAGTACCTCACCCACAAAGGGTCAATATTTTTTAAAAGGTACGTATTTCCAAAACTACGACCATATCTGGCTATATGCCAATTTTGGTGTCATTTGTTAACTTTATGTATCTATGATATCTCTATGTCTAGCTCAATAGGTTACCCCAAATCTTAATTTTACCAAATTTTGTACCATTAAGTACACATTAATATAAATCCAATAGAATTTTCCCAAATATTTCCCAATCTTAGGATTCCAGCCCGATCGCTTCAACCGAATATAATTGCACCAAACGTAGTTCCATTTAGAATACATAAATACGAATTTCAAAAACCTTCTAAATACTTCAACAGTAATATTAATTCCAAATTTCAAGATTGCAAATGTGATACAATTTAGTACATATTATTACGAACTTCCAAAACTTCTCACATACCCCAATAATACACTCCAACAATGATCCTAACTCCAAATTTCAGGATTCCAGGTCTATCGGTTCACCAAAATTTCAAATTGTACCAACTTTAGTACGCATAAGTACGAATTTTCAAAACTACCTATATCATACAACCAATGCAAATCTTATTTTCCGATTACAGGATTCCATCCCTATCGGTTCACATAAATCCAAATTATACCAAATTCAGTACACATTAGTACGAATTTCCAAAACTTCCTGCATAACCCAATCCAACACCCTAACAGTGATCCTTACTTCAAATTTCAAGATTTCAACACTATCGGTTCACCCAAATCCAAATTTGTTACCATTTAGTACATATTGGTACACATTTCCAAAGCTTCCTACATATCCCAATCCTACATCCCAACAGTGACCCTAACTTCAAATTTGGTACACTTTAGTACACAAGCATAAACCCCAAAAGTGACCCAACTCCAAATTTCAGGATTCCAGCCACCAGGTACCATTTAGTACACATTAGTACTATATTCCAAAACTTCCAACATACCACAATCTACACCCCAACAATGATCCAAACTCCCAATTTCAAGATTTCAGCTCTATCGATTCACCCAAATCCAATTTGTGCCAAATTTAGTACACATTAGTACGAATTTCCCAAAATTCCTACATACCCTAATCTAACACACCAACAGTGATCCTAACCTTAAATCTCAAGATGTCATTTCTATCGGTTCACCGAAATTCAAATTTGGTACCATTTAGAACACATTTCCAAAGTTTCCTACATCTCCCAATCCTACACCCTAACTCCAAATTTCAGTATTCCAGCGGTTTAGTAAAATCAACAGTTGGTACTATTTACTACACATTAGTAATTTTCCAAAACTTCCAACATACCAAATCTAACCCCCAACAATGATCCTAACTCTCAATTTCAAGATTTAAGCTTTATCGATCCACCCAAAACCAATTTGAACAAAATTTAGTACAAATTAGTACGCATTTCCAAAACTACCTACATACCCCAATAATCCTTCCTCAAATTTCAGAATTTCAAAACTGTCAATTCACCTTAAATTCAAATTGTACAAAATTTAGTACGATTTAGTATTTACATAAGTAAACATTTTTAAAAACTACGTGCACATACCAATCCTTCAATCCGACGTTAATATTAATTTACATTTTCCAGCTCCATCCGTTTCTCCAAATTCAAATTGTACCTAATTTAGTATAGTTTAGTACTTATCGTATACATGAGTACATTCTTTCAAAACCACCTCCTTATATCGACCCTACTTCTCATCCTTAATTCGCATTCCAAATTTCAAGTTTTAGTTTTTTGTACTTTTCGTGCCGCTCTTGTACGAATTTCCAAAAACCCAGCCATGGACCTCTCACCAAAATTTTAATATGCTACCATCTGCCGTTTCGTCTGGCCGTTGATGAATCGCCAAGTCAGTCAGTGAATCAGTCAGTCATTCACTTTACTCTTTTATTAGTATAAATATCAATAAATACTCCGATACCTGTTTATAATCGGTGTAACGCCCTTTTAGGTGCATAAGTTGAACATAATCCGATCTGTTTTCAAATAATGTTTGGAAGTTTTGCTTGCCCATTGAGCCTATGAAACTTTAACTTATTTTAAAGTATTCCTCAGCTAGTACTTTTCCAAAATGTTGTAAATACTGCAAAATACTTTCTTGAAATAAATGATTAATAGCATTGTTTTCAATACAATTTTAGATAACGGTTTTAATGTGATGAATAATAATAGGAGCCCATCTATTTCATGACATTACAAATGTCTAACCTAACATTATCGCCATTTACTGTAACACCACCGGCCAGACCATATTCTCGTAATTTATCCACATTACTTTTTTGTCGGCAAGAACAATTACACTTTGGTCCCATTCTTAAATTCCAATTGGTTTTCGATTTATTTTCTGTCCATTTTGTTGTTTTATCGAGCTGTCATATGTTTTGTTGTTAGGCTTTTTATTTCAATTCTGCTTTTTGCAAATTCATAATTTTGACGCGTGCCTCCTCCTCCGTCGAGGTTTTTGTTTTGGTGTCTTTTCTCTATTTTTTTCTATATTTTTGTTTGGTTCGATTTTAAGCGCCAAAGAATCATTGATCGTCTCGATGGCTACTTGGTTTGTCATAATTAGTCAGCGGTATTGTTGGTCGAATTTTGTTTTTTTAAGGTTCCTCTTGTAAAATTCGTTGACTGATAAATGTCGAATGTCGTATTTATGTTTGATTTTAATTTTATCTATGTATGTGTGTTTGGGTAATTATAATTGAATTTGTATATTCGTTGATATCATCAATTAATTCGGACAACGATAAAAATTCAACGCAAAAAATATAATGAAGGGGAAATGAATGAGAAATTGTCCACAACATGGTTAGCACACCGATCGATAAAAAATTAAAGAAATGTTCGATAGAGTGTAACAACCTTTTCCGAGGTTGGGTTGGCAACAGACTGCAATTATTCACGAAGCTAGGGCTTTTTTTAGTTCCGCTTAATGATTGTCGGAGAATCAAGACCATCAGGAATGGGTACGTTTTAGCCGATTACTCCCATTGTACCTGCAGATCTATAGGATATAAAACTTAGGATTTGAATGAGCCTCTATTTTAATAAAGAAGTAAAGTTATTGGCTTGCTGACTGACTTAAACCGAGCTGTACAAGCGTGACCATATGGTAACACCCATAACACAATCAATAAATCATTTAAAAAGCCTGTACCCGAGCAGTGCTTGCATGAACATATGGTCACAGCCCAAAAATTTATCCTGTCGATTATCCTGATAAGAAAAAAAAGATACAAATCAAATTTTTGGATTCAATCTAGAGACGCTAAAAATTTCGTCCCAAAATTCGAAAAATACATTACAGCACTATTCGGGTTAAGTATTCAACAATGCTCAGACGAAACGGTTGAGGCTAGAATTTGGAAATTTTGGGAGAGTGTCACTCTTTTGCCGAAGATGGCAGCTTGGTTTTTGCGAAATTCGTACTATAACGGCAGGAAAAGTGCTAAAAAAAATTTGGGTAACCAGTGGAACTTGAACTCTTCATTTTGGAATTACATTTCAAAGAATTAAAATATACTAAATTTGGTACAATTTCGTAGCATGTGAATGGAAAGAGCAAAAAACTTGAAATATGGAATGCGAATCAGGCTTGAGATGTAGGGTCTATATAAGAACGCGGTTTATAGAATGTGTAATTATGTATACGAAGAATACTAAACTGTACTAAATTTGGTACAATCTGAATTTGGAGAAACGGATGAGCTGGAATCCTGAAATATGAAGTTAACATTACCATCGGAGTGTTGGATAGCGATATGTAGGTCGTTTTTGAAATTTGTAGTTATGTGTACGAAAGGTACTAAATGGTACTATATTTGGTACTATTTGGATTTGGGTGAACTTTTAGAGCTGAAACGCTGACATTTGGGAATGGTATGTTGGTAATTTGGAAAATTCGTACTTATTTGTACTAAATTTGGAACAATTTGAATTTTGGGTGAATCAATATTTGGCTCAAAATTTGGCTGAACCGATAGATCTGGAATTCTGAAATTGGAGATAGAAGTTTTGGAAACTTCTACTAATGCGTACTGAAATTTGGAAATAAGATTTTTGTTGAAGTGAAGGATCGGTGGTATGGATGTGTGTACTAAATGGTACTAAAGCTGGAACAATAAACTTGAATGTGTGTACTAAATGGTACTAAACTCGATACAACTTGGATTTAGAGCTGGAATAGTAAAATTTGGAGTGTAGAATTGAAGTACTAAATGTTGAAATTTGAATTTTATGAAAATACGTACTATAAGAGAACATAAGTACTAATATTTTAATTAGGGTCGGTATTGATTTTTGAATAATTCCCACATTCTAGTAGGTATTTTAAATACCTAAAATTGATGAAGGCTTTTATGTGTCATGGTATATTTTCGCCAGGAGAAATTGAAATATCAAATACGTATTATAAGAGAACATAGGTACTAATATTTTACATTAGAGGTATCGGTATTGATTTTTACCCAATAATTTACAGGCAATTCGGTTGAGCAACGTACCCAAACTTGGATCAATATTGATAATTTTTGGTGAGGATATTTTAAATACCTAAAATTGATGAAACCTTTTATGTGTCATGAAAATATATTTGAAAGTTACCGTTATCTGTGGCTGTACTAAAAAGAGGACCAACCAGTATTAATATAGTTTTTGGTAGGATAGTAAAAAATTTATTGGTAATCTAAAATATCGAATTAGCATTGTGGCTTCGGTGGTTATACCCAAACTTCAAAATAATAATATATAAGATATTGCGAGCTCTAGAGCTCACCAGAGAAATGGACATTCCTAAGGTGTTACAAACCGAATGACAATTTTAACATACACACCACCTTATGGTCTAGCGTATAAAAACTGCGTATATTTTACATTTTGAAGGTGTGTAGACGTGCCTACTTAAATTATGATTGATGACCAGTCACAAGTTTGTGACTCAAAATATTTATTTATTCTCCACGGTCCCATGAATAATACTCGTGGCTGAAGTTCTAATATTATATTTTATTTTAAAATTCGAAATTTCTCTGAATTTAATAATATTTTTTCTTATATTTTTTACTACTACGAAGATTAATTAATTCCGGGAAATTCTCTTTTAATTTTCCACCATTCGAATTTTCTTCATATATGGCATCTTCATCTTCACATTCTTTGGAAACGCTGACAAAATCTTCTGGTAATTGTTCAAAATCCGCGGAATCAAAAGGTCGGAGATTGTGTATGCGCTGTTCTATTGCCTCCGATTTTGGCTCAACGGTATGCCAATAAATGCTGGGTGGTGATTCATATCGACGTTTATTGCGGGGATAGATTTCAGAGAGAATGGGTTCAGAAAATGGTCCTGGAAATAACAAACAATTTGGTTTCAATAACCTTTTGCATATTTGAGGGAGACGATAGGTATCACTGTTCCCCCAATTTTTTCAAAAATAAATTAATTTCAATATTTAGTCTTATTTACTCACCCTTTCGTTTTGGCTTTCGCAAATAGTTGATAAAACTTGTTCCAGTGCCGGCCATATCATTGGGCTTCGTATCTTCACTTTCTGCAGATTAGACTTAAAAATTGACTAAAGACCATCAATAAAAGCTTAGATAGCTTACCTATTGTTGTGTCCTTGTCATCTGAATCCGATTTTATAATAATGCTGGCAGTGGGTCTACCCTCATTGATTGAGAAAAAATAAGGATCATCATTCTCATCGTTTTTGTTGTCTGTTGGATTGAGAATCCAACTTAATTTCTTCGCAGAATCTGAAGTAGAAGTTGATTTCGAAACATCAAATCGTTTTGGAAGTTTATTGTCTTTTTCTGAGGGATGTAACCAATTTGCTTCAGTGGAAATGGAAACAAAGTGAAGTGAAGATTTTGAGTTTGCCGCTTTGAATTGTTTTTGATTTGTGTCATCATCTCCGGAGGGTAGTAACATATTTGCTTCGGTGGGAAAGGATATAAAGTGTTTATTTTCGGAAATAATATCCTTCCAATCTGTCGAAAATTCTCTGGGTTCTTGTGTTGATTTCTTTATGGAAAAGGACAGAAATTTGACTTCTTCTTGGGAGCTTGAATCGTTGTTGTCTTTATCTATATTAGAGTGATGGAAAGTGGATGCGGAACTGTGGGAAGAAGGATGATTAAATCCGTTTAAGGGTTGATTATGATCAACAATTACTTTAGATGAAGAACTAGATGAGCTTATGGAACTTCCTTCATTTAATTTTTCGGAATTAACATTTTTCCTAAACTCCTTGTCATTGCCAATATCAAATTCGAAATTTAATACCTTGGTATTTTCATCTCTAGTTCCATGTAATAGGGAACCTTTCTGCTTCAATCCATCGTTATGCTCTAATTCCTTGAATTGTTGGGTATTTGGCGCCCAAACGGTATTTTCTCTATTTATTGAAGATGCAGTCTGAGATCCAGGTGATATGATGTCAGATTTCTTTTCACTTCTCATGGAGAATGGAGCCAATTTTTGGAGAGGTTGTAAACTCTCCTCAGCATCCTTTTCATTAAAATCAGAGGAAAATTTCCTCGATGTTAGATGGCTGTTATCGGAAGAGTTTACTTCAAGAGGTAATTTTTTATTTTTACTGGAAAATGAAAAGAATTTCACTTCAGTTTCCTGAAAATCATCCTGATTATCCGGATCAGTATTATCAAAATTATGAGCAAATAATTTCTGTAAATTTCCATTAGCAGGATGAAAATTGCCATCTTTATTTGGACTGTCATCCCATTTCTCGGTGGCAAATGTGAAGTCCTTTGATCCGCTAGACTCATTATTTACAACAGTCTGGAGTATAGGAGAATCCTGTGCTACCGGAGTGTTGGAGAATCCTGTACTACCGTCAAAGTTATGGGCAAAGGATTTCCGTAAATTTCCATCAGAATTTGAGAATTGTTCATTTTTATTTGGTTTGTTTTCCCATTTATCGTTGGAAAATATAAAAACATTTGATTCTGACAATTTCTTATGGTCTGTAGAATCTGATCCCTTACTGATTTTTAAATCTTTACTGCTCTGATCATTATCATCCTTTATTGTAGCGAAATTATTTCCAGTACCGGAAAATTGTGTAATGAAAAGTCCCTTTCTTCCATTTGAGGATGTTTCCGTTTTTTGAACATCCAGTGCGGAGTCCTCGACGTTCATATGTCCTGCTGTTGGAAAATTAAGAACACCAGACATTGCTGATTTCTGGGCATCCACTTCCTGAGAATTATCTTCTATAATGTCTGATGATTGTCCATTACTGGTTTTGCTGAAAATAAACATATCCTGATTTTCTTTTTGTGAGGTCTGCGGATCAGATTTTCCAGACGCGGTTTGTGAACCAATACGATTTTCTTCGGGATCCTCCAAAAATCTAGATGTTATTTTTATGTCCTTTCCCTTGGCACTATTTTGTTCTTTTTCTGTGTCGATTATTTTCTTCTCATCATTTCTTGGATTTGAGTCAGAAAATGTGAACAGAATTTCTTGATTTATTTCTGGAATATTTTCTTCCATATTTTCTCTTCGTTTCTGTACGAAAAACTTTTCAATTTCTTGTCTCACAGATCCACGCTTTGTTGCCTTGGGATCTTCTTGAAGTTTTATTATTTCGAATTTACCATTATTTTGAACGGGAACCTGGATAATATCAACTGTGTCCTTGGGGAAATCTTCATGAATCGATAGTGTAGCGGACGAATGGGATGGAGATTCCTTGCTACCTTTAGCTGTCGATGATTTCTGTGTTAACCATGAGATTGTGAAATTAGCTTCAGATTTTGGAGCCTCTCCAGGCGGCTCTTTCAAAAGTATGTCTGGATCTAGTGAACTGGAAATTGAACTTTTATTTAAGGTTAAATTTTCTTCAAGAATCTCTGGCCCCTGTTTAACTTCTTTTTGTGTTAATAAAGTGTCATTCGGGATCTTTGAGGTAGAATTTTCATGATTTAAATTCACTTGCCCTTGAGTAACATCCTTCGAAGTTATTAAGACATCCCCGGTCAACTTAGAAGTGGAATTTTCAACATTAATATTACCGTCTTCAGATTTCACAGAACTTGAAAAGGAAATACTACCATGAAATTTATCCGGTTCAATGTCAGATTTTTGGAAATGCCGAATTTCTCCTTGAGAACCTTCCGCTGATAAAGTTTCTTTGATTAAAGAGGACTCTTTGTTGTCGGTTCCAAACTTGGTTTTTTGTTTTTCTATTGATTTATCAGATGATACTGTTTTGGGCATTGTTTCGTTATCCTCTGAAACTTTTAGTTCAATATTTCCTACAAATTTATTCAGACGTGTATCATCAGTTTTTCCATCATTATCTATCATTACCTTAGAGGTAATAATGGTTATATTACCAGTCTTTGATTTTTCAATATTTCCAAAATCTCCTCCTGCACCCATCACAGCCAGGGATGTATTTGTGGACATATTTCCAGAAATGTCCGCTTTATTTGGATTGGTTTCTTTATCTTCTGATAAAACCATTGAATCCGACTCTTGAATATTTCCAATAAATTTATTCACTCCATCTGCCTCACCTGTACCCATTACTTTGGATGTAGTAGTAGTTTTATTTCCAGATTTCACTGAGGAAATATTACCGGAATTTGATAGTTCTTTGGTTTTTAGCTCTTTATCCTCTGACAAAACTATTGAATCAGATTTGTCAATATTTCCAATTAATTTGCCTAAGCCCATAGTCTCAAATTCTTTATCGATGTCCTCCACTTCCTTTCCCTTATTTTTTATTTTTATTTTCTCTTCATTTGTCAGTACCAACGATTCCGATTGCATATTTCCCATAAGCTTGTTCGCTTCCATATCCTTGGGTTCTTCGCTTTTCTTGGAATTTATAGTTATTTTATTTTCAGACTTCTCTTGGGTGGATAATATCCCTTTTGATGTTGTTTCCGATTTTCCCGAAGTGACTTTTGTGGAAGAGCCTACAGAAGCACTATCAATTAATTTTTCATCTCCCACTCCTATTTCTTTGATAGTAGTATGCCCTACATTTTGCTCCTCCTCCTTGGCTTTTTCAATTAATGTTTCATTATCTGGTTTTTCTTTTTTGGCTTCCTGATTTCTTCCATGTTGTTCTTTGATGGTATCACTTTCTTCTCCATTTTCATTTTGTATGTGAATCCGTTCATCAGTTTTCTTTTCAATTTCTGCAATTTCCTTTTCTCCTTTATGCAGTGTTACTCCTTCAGAATTTTCTCCATTACTCCCTTTATCATCCTTTTTGATTTCTTTATTATTTTCATATTCCTTTGGGTCCAAATTTTCAATTTCTAATTTTTCAGTTGTAGCATGACCTTTACTTTGGTCTTCGGTAGTATCATTTTCGTTTGATTTTCCAGCTATGTGTTTTTCATTTATTGTCTCATTCATTGCATTGTATATTTGAGATTCCTTTCGAGTCCCACTTTTATTTTCTAAATTCTTTTCATTTTCTGTTTCTTTTCCTTCATGTGTTTCCCACACTTCTTCATTTCCATTGGTATATCCTTTCTGCGGTTTGACTTGTTCACCTATTTTTCTTCCATCTTGTTGACCTTTGCTTTTGGAGTGTTCTCCCATCTCCCCTTTGCTTTGTTCATTATCCTTTGAAGTTGTAACGTTGTTATTTGCAGCGGGTGCTTCTTGTGCTCCTTTTTTAGCAGTTGGTTGTTTTCCCGTCCCATATGTTTCAATTTCTTCTTTTCTTTTTTCATTACTTTCTTCGTGATCATTCTTTTCCTTAATGTATATTTTATTTCGCTCCTTTTTATCATGATTTTGTTCTATTGATGCTCCACTACCTCCCTTTTCATTTTCATCTTCTTTCTTTTCTTTATTATTTTCCTTGTTTTTCTGATTATCATTTATTGCAGATTTATCATATCCGTTCTTCTTATCATTATTTTCACTTTTTTCCTTATCAGCATCTCTGTTTCTTTCATTATACTTATTTTCTTTTTCATATTTGCCATCATATCCATCTTTGGCATAATTGATATTTCCATATTCTCCTTTATCATTATCAAGCCTTTCGTATCCCGTCATATGATCTTCCACTTTAGGATTTACTTCCTTTCGTCCATTGATCTCCTCATGTACTGGTACTTTTTCTCCTTTGCTCTTTTCATACCCATTTAAAATAGGTGTTCTTCCGCTTCCTAAACATGGTAAACATTGAGAACTCGAGACATGGGTAGTTTGATTTTTAGCTGACGATTTGACATCCTTTTCCGACTGGCAGTGATTTACATTAAAATTGACCACAACCAGCTGCGTTGAATTTGTTTTCTGAGAATCCTTCTTCATGCCATGATTCACACATAAATTATTTAGATTTTTGGTTTCCACATTAGCCTTACGCCCTTCCGTTATGGACATTCCTTTGGACTTGGTTTTTAATTTCTTATAGCCCAATCTTCTCCCTTGAACCTTGGGGCGTGGCTTGTATTTCACATTCATTGACCGTTCAATACATCCCGGCTTATACGGAATTCTTCCATTCAAATTGTAACCCACATTTTGCATTCCGGGAGAGTAGTGCTTCCTTGGCGGATACATTGAGGGAAACAAGGCGAAATTTGCAAAGCCACCACTTGGCATTGTGGCAGGATTTACAAAATCCATTTGTGGCGACCTCACATCATGTGGCAGAACAAACATATCGAAGGGTCTTGGTAGAGTTTCAGGCCTTAGAATTTGATCAGCATATTTTGCCCGTTGATCGATTAGATAATGTAAATAGTCATGATACGGTTCACGCTTAGGTCTCATGCTATCCGCTTCTGATTTTTCTTCGTGTAAATCACTGTAAATCAAATTGAAGAAAAATAAAACAAAATGTCATTGACATTTTCGAAAGGTGTTAAAATCATTACACATTTTACCCTTGATGTGTAGTTTTTGGTTCATCAGCCACCGGCGAAGCCCTTGACTGCTTGAGAACACTTAACACAATTAACCATTCAAAAACCAGCATCACTTCCTCGTCTTTCTATTTTTTCTTTCAAACCAAAAAATTTTAAATAAAAATTCGTAAGATTCTAAACAATAACCTGACAATGTCATTTCTTTAAATACCCAAAAATGCAGTTCAGTTTTATTCAAAATTCGTTTCATGGCATAACTCGGGTTCATATAACACCGTTTGTTTGCCAAGTTGAAGACATAACGGCCACCAAGTCTTCTAATTACAGAGTATTTATTTTCAGAACATTTTTTCCGTTCCAATGCATTTCGAAATTGTCGAAGTCGAGTGAATGAATTCATCAGTCAGGGTTATGCCATTGATAATGAACGTGATTTGGAAAACTGAAAACTGATCAGACCACAAATTAAAAGTCATGTTCTTGTGTCTTCTTGAAGGTGTTTATTTACATTTCACACCACATACAAACACACATACACACCGAAATACAATCTTTTAAGTTCCCACTAGAAATTGTCTCCCCCATCCTCCCAATATGATCTCATCCAGAACTTAACTACTTGAACGAAACAAAATCAGTGACTGTGTTTGCCTTTTGCCACTATATATAGAGCGAACGAGACACTTAAAGTCTGGATGCACTTAAAATGGATTGCATTATATTCCCAACCTACTAGCAGGCAGGCAGTCAACCAAGCTACCAGACCTCTAGTAAGCACATCCAATAACCAAAAGATAGGCAAGACGATAAAAATGCACATTCAAAATGTGTGTCAAGAAGCTAAATGCAATAACGACAGACATCAACAACAACAATAACGACGACGACAGTAGTTGTCTGCCTATGGCAGGCATCGACTAACCGATTACAAAACTACACAGGTAAGACGCCACTTATTTGTTGCATATTCTGCGGCTGCAGCAGCTGCAGCTGATGATGTCGTTGTCTCGTTCCATTAAGGTGGGGTCTTTGAGAAAGGATTAAATGATGCCTCAATCAAAGGTCATGTAAATATTTAAAACACTCGAGATTGTCCTTCAAGGGGGGCTGTGTTCAGGTCGAGGTCTATCTTTAGAACAAAGTGTGTGTACAAATGATTTAATATACTTATATGGCGTCACTTAGTGTAAACAAGGAAGCACTTTTAAAGGAAAGCAAACAAACTATCAGGAAAGTGAGACATATACTTATTGTCGTGTGTGTGTGGCATTCAAAGTGATAACGTCAGGACAATATGTGAATATAAGAGAAATACGTATATATTAATATTTATTTTTAAATTTACATCGCCATTTTATATTATATATAAAAATTATATAAGGACATAATTGAAATAAGTTGCACCGATTATTTTTTATATCGGGGGTATATTAACAGTGTTAGCGCCATTTTGGATCCTATAAAGTACAAATTATTGTTTGTCTCTAGGTAAAATTCCTACGGCCAGTCCCTTTGTGTGTTGTATTAACACTAAATTTGTGATATCTAAAATGTTTTACTGAAATTCAACATTAATTTTGCTTATCACTCCTAAATGATATACACGATGATGACAGAGCTCCGAAATTCCAAACCCTGAGATTAAGCGATAACCCCGACTGAAAAGTCGGTTCGTAGACTTTTAGAATGTATATAGTTTATATCCGAAATCAATTTCGGATATTGAAAATTTGATTTGACTATATATAAATTCTATATTTTCTTGTGGTCCAACTCTTAGGCCCAAAATCTGTGGCTAAGCGAACACCCACGAATCCGAAATCAATTTCGTATATTTAAAATACCAGGATAATTTTTGATAGTAAGATTTGGCATCCAATAAAAACCAAATTATAGCCACTTCGGTTAAAAATCTGACCAAAAATATGTGAATACTGTAAAAGTGGATATATATTGATAACTAGCATATGTCCGCTACTTCGTTAGCGAACGTGAGAATTATTTAAAATTGTCTAAATACATTATACAGAGAACTACATAATCAGAAGAGCTAATCACTCTATACACTAATATTGACCATAATTTAAATTTTAGTACCACTTAGTTCCTATATGTACGTATTGCCAAAATTATCACCAACGCTGCGAAATATTGGTCCTAGACCAACCTTTAAGTATACCGATCGTCATATCTCGACTAGCTGAGTCGATCTAGACATGTGTGTCCGTCCGTCCGTCTGTCCATTATAATTTGTAAACACGATACAGGCCACAGTTATGGACCCATCTTCACGAAATTTTGCATTTAGGATGGGTTCTGGTCAATGAAGACCCCTATTGTTTTTGGTAAAGATCGGTTAAAATTAATGGGATGAAATGGACCAAAAAACTAAATTTTTTCTGATTTTCTAGTCGCTCTAGAGGCCGCAATTATGGCCCAAACATCCCGAAGGGGATTGGGTCAAAAAGTAAACATGCCTATTTTGATAATGATCGGTCAATATTTAGCGGGTCAAATGGACCCTGACTTTTGTATGAAAAATGACAAAATTTGTATTCTATGTCGTATATATTTACTCCTGAAGGACATGGACCCGAGAAGTTGATCGTATATCCAAGAGGAGTGGTAGACATGTAAATTGATACCAATTATATCGTCGTATGTACCCGAATATGGAAGTTACACTTAAATATTTACTTAGATATTATTTAGTTACACATTACCACACTAGAGGCGGAAATATAGCGCTAATAGCTTTGAAATTTTCAATGAGGATCCAGGTATGATCAAGGATTAGGCCTCTAATTTTCGTTGATGATCAGATAATAATATTGGGATGAAGTGAACCGAAAACTTAATTTGTTGTGCTTTTTCCGAGTGCATCAATAGGCTACAATTGAAAGCCGATCATCACAACACAACCCACGGTGAAGGGAATCTGGACAAGTAATTAGAAGAGTTGTACTGAATATTAGTAATATTAGCTGGTCATGAGGTTGCAAATATCGCGAAATATTGTCCAAGCTTAGAATAAAGAACCACACAGTTAGATTTCCGTAAATGTTGTATATATATATATATATATATGACCATATTATCATATGGTCGGCCCAATAGAAACCATATTTCCCAATTTCAGGATTCTAGCCCAATCTCTTCACCCAAATATAATTGTACCAAATTTAATATCATTCAAAATCATTAGTGTGAATTTTCAAAACTTCCTACACAGCACAATCCGGTTCACCCAAAATTTAAATTGTACCAAATTTAGTACACATTAGTATACATTTCCAAGACTTCATACACAGCCCAATCCTGCAAGCCAACAGTGATGCTAAATTAAAACTTCAAAATTTCAGCTCTATCGGTTCACCCAAATCCACATTGGTACCATTTAGTGCACATTAGTAAAAATTTCCAAAACTTCCTACATATCCCAATCCTACACACCAACAGTGATCCTAACTCCAAAATTCAGGATTCTAGCTCTATCGGTTCACTCAAAATTTAAATTGTACCAAATTTAGTAGACATTAGTGTGAATTTCCAAAACTTCCTACATAGCCCAATTCTACACCTCAACAGTGATTCTAACTCCAAATTTCAATATTCCAGCTCTATCGGCTTATCTAAAATTCAAATTTTACCAAATTTAGTACCATTTACCCTGTACCCATTTAGTATACGATAATATGAATTTCCAAACATTCCTACATAATCCCAATGCTATCCCCAACAATAATCCTAACTCCAAATTTCAGGATCCCAACTCTATAGGTCCACCAAATATTCGAATTCTAATAAATTTAGTACCATTTAGTACCCACAAGTATGAATTTCCAAAACTTTTTGTAGACATTCGTAAAAATATTTCAAAACTGCCTACATATTCTAATCCTACACTCCGACGATAATGTTACTTTTCGTATACATGAGTACACACTTCCAAAACCACCTCTTTTTAACGACCTTATTTATATCTATCTATCGTTCACATGGTACGAAATTGTACCAATTCAGTACATTTTAGTACTTTTCGGATACTTACAGTTCGAATTTCCAAAAACTCTTTGGTACATCTATATTCTACACTTTATCAATCCAAATTTCAAAACCGGTTCGCCAAATACAAATGATACCATATTTAGTACTTTTCGTTACGAATTTCCAAAAACCCAACCTTTCTGTCACCTTTGGACCCAGAGTGACCCTCACCCAAAATTTCAAGATTGTAGCTTCAGCCGTTTTGTCTGGGCGTTGATGAAACGTTAAGTCTGTCAATCAGTAAAAGAGTCAAGACAGTCAATTACTATATTCTTTTATTAGTATAGATTTTTATAGAACATTTTCTGTGGAAATCGATGCTCTGGAAATTTGTACTAAAAATGTACTACATTTTCTAAATGATACGAATGAAATTAAAACCTTGAACTTTGGTGTGGGCATTACTATTAATATTCAAAACTGATATAAGGATTTTGATTTTGAAGTTTCGCACTAAATGTATATAAAGTGGTACTGAAATTAGTGCAATTTGTAGTGCTTAGGAAAGGTGCAAACAATATCGAAATGGGGTTGGGAATAGTTAAGTTAATTTTTAAATTTAGTTAGGTGATGTGTAGTGTTGAAATTACGAGATGGAATGAAGTATTGAATTTGGGATGGGGATCACTTGTGGTGTAGAGAGTGGATCAATATATTTTTACATAATTTACGAAATTGATTCGTGCCAACTTGTCGGTAGTCTATACTTGATGAGTGTCATGTTACATTCGTTTGTGGTCTGGAGTCGCCTATAAATCCAAACAGCGACCCCGGGGAATGTCTTGTCATCCCATTAAGACTTTTATTTATAATTTTTTCCATGTTTCCACACAAAATTTCATATCAACAAATAACATTCGATTTTCCAACCTGCAGACTTTTATAAGGGGGTTTTCTCAAAAATTTCTCTTGAAAATTTTCCCACTGCTATTTTAAAAAACCGGACAAATTTGAGTCAAATGGTTCCAGCGGTTCTCAATTGATGTGTTATTATACATTTGTTACAGAAGATATATACGTACTTGGGAACTATTTCCAAATCTATATTAATTTCAGTTTTTTA